TTCCTTTCTTTCCTTTCTTTCCTTTCTTTCCTTTCTTTCCTTTCTTTTCTTTTCTTTTCTTTTCTTTTCTTTTTTTTCTTTCTTTCTTTCTTTCTTTTCTTTCTTTCTTTCTTTTTCTTTTCTTTTTTCTCTTCTCTTCTCTTCTCCTCTCTTTCTTCCTGCCTTCGTTCCTCCATTTTCATTAATAGGCTTTAATTTTTTGTGCAGTTTTAGGTTTACAGGAAAAGTGAACAGAAAGTCCAGACCAGGGCCATTTCTCATACGTATTCAGACTCCACCTGCCACTGTCTTGGTATGTCTTCCTCTCCCTATAAAGACTCTTCTCCCCTTCATCCCTCGGACCTCAATTTCCTGTTCCCTCACTGTCCTGACTCTAAATTTTCATAGTCTCTACTTTTTATGAATCCATTAGGACGGTTTCCCAGAGGAAACAGAAGTCTTCTTGAGGAATGCTGTCTTCCTCCTAGCCCACATGGCCCAGACTGCAGCTCAGTCTGCAAACAACAGTTTTGTTTTCTGCCTGTTCCATCTAAAGCAGAGGTATCATGTCCAGATAGTGAGCTAATATCCTGGGAGAAAGGATTTGGGGTGGAGAGCAGTTGCTAGAACAAGCCTGGGCTTTGGGATAAGAGCTGGCCAAGTGCAGAGGAAGAACATTCAGGTTCTGACTCTGATTTCGGGGCCAGACAGCATTTCTCCCTCAAATTCTCTCCTCTGCCTCCCCCTCGACCCTCCTGCACTCAGGCACCTTGTTGCCAAAGCCTCATAGTTCTTGAATGAGACCAGAGGCTACTTTCCATAGTTAGAAAGAACATCCTAGAATTCAAACACCTATGGGAATAAAAAGCAGAGATGGACTCTTTTACTAGGAATGAGTTTTGAAAGGCGAGGGAGAAAGAGGACAGTGAACATCTTCCATGAGAACCAGACATGAAGGTAGGAAAGGGTCGCTTCGGAGGAACCTAGAGCTCAGAGCACAATCTTAAACCAGTGATCAGTCCCTGAGTTCACAGGATCCAGGGGTGGTGAGCAGGAATTTTGTTGGTGAACCCATCTCCCTGAAATGTCTGACATCTTGGGATCTAATGGTGTAGGAGCTATTTACCCAATTAGTAAATGTTAATTGGACACATACTCCTTGTGGGATATTATGCTAAGTGCTAATAATAGGAAGAGACGGCACACCCACACCATGTTTGTCCTCAAAGGACCCATAGGGTATTTGGAGAGAGATATAAATAAGCAACATTTATGATATTGGGTAATAAGCACTGTGATGGAGAAATCTATAGGACGCTGACTGGAGGCAGGGAGACTCCTAGGGGAGATATAAGCATTGTCCTGGTAGAAATAATGTAGCAGCAGGTATGATAGAGAATCAGGGGCAGATCTAAGAGACATTTAAAGCTAAGGTTGATAGGATTTGGTGACTGTGTGTGAGGAAAGAAGAGAATGCAGGTTTCCAGTTGGCCTGCCCGTGTGGACAGATGGTTGCCACCCACTAAGGAAGAACACGAGCACTGCACAGGGTCGTTCCAGGAGGAGAGTTCGGCTTGGGATACATCGAGGCTGAGGACACGTGGTATACTCAGAGTCCAATAGGTTTAGCACTCAAGAGACAACTACTGGTCTGTGTTGGGAAGAAGGGT